TCGTTTTCATAATTGTCATGTCATAAATCACGTTTAAATTACTGTACAGCATTGCATTTTCTTATTCGGCTTTTCGATTATATACAGTATACACATGCATACATACCGACATGCATATATGTGTGTGTGTGTTTGTGTGCTTGTTTGTGTGTATGTATCTATTCATATGTTTGTGTGTATGTATATATGCATGTATGTATGCATTACATAGCCATATGATACTTATGACAGTTTTGCATTGCGTTCACCTGAACCGCTAGCAGCGACGGCCAATCTCTTCCAAAAATGGGTCGGGATTCACCAGCGTATCTTCTAATATTTCCTCTCAGCACTAGGTCAGCCCCGCCCACTTCCGCTGACGCTGCCAATCAGGATAAAGCAGAACTGCTGAGCGTTGGAGGCGACACGAACTCCACATCTCCAGTAAACTCCAAGTTGGTGCTAAAAGCCGTAGGCCACGCGATCCGGAAAGAGAGGTACTCAAACTCGGTGTTGGACACGGAGACCTCTCTCCCGCACCAGATTCCTACCACGCAAAATACCTAGAGCAGACATGACTTTTCAGAGTGTTCAGTGCTAACCGAATATGCTCTCAGAGCTGTGAAAGTTTCAAGCTCATTCTCGATGTTTTTTTTTAATATCTTATGTAGTGTTTAGAACTCCCACACATCAAAACCTTCTCATACTTCAGGACGTGAGTTTGATATCGTTTTAGATTGGCCATTGTCGGTTAGGCCTATGCTTAACCAGCTTGAAATCATGATTCACCTGTGACCTGCATTGACCCTTTAGATCAACTGCAGTGCACCCGATGCTGGACGGCGTCTCAGTTGACCCCCTGGAAACCTCCTTTATCAAGAAGAAAAGAGACGCGCATATCTTCTGGATTCAGAGCATTACCGACCTTCAGACTCAGGTTAGACCCCGGGAACGTAAGGGATTTGAGCCGAGGTACCTCCCTCCTCCTTGCCAAGATCCTCCTCTCTTCCTATAGGTCCTCCAACCACAGTAAAATCTTCACGCCATTTGTTTCTTCTTTGGATGGTTGTTTATTCCCTTCCAAATTCTCAGGAATCTCCCTTGATAATCATTCAATATAGCTCCTCCAAAACATTTCAAAAGAAAATAACCTTTCAGTCCCCCTTCGTCCTATAACCTTGTGACCTGTTGTAGGTGATTACCGGGGATGTGGAGGGACCGCTCCTGCCAGTTCCGAACAAGAAGTCTCCGCGAGACCAGGCAGTAAGACGAGTGTGATGCCACGGCCACAAAGCTGTCTCGGCCTTCACTTAGCTACCACACGTCAACACGATCTATTTTTCGTTCTTTGTAACATACGTGTCACTTTCGATCACTCACACCCTCCCACTAACACCTGGAATATTTACAGGATGGTGGAAGAAACCCGTCACTTCGGTCACTCTAATCGTTTGTTTCTTATGGGATTAAATAATGAAGAAAATAAGTGTCACTTTTTTTCTTCATATTTTCCCTCTTTAAATGCCACAAATGGTTAATCCGATATCCACTGAAGGATTATACTCCACAATATCAGAATAAACTGACTCGCGCGCACATGCACACTCACTTCCCATGTGTGGAAGATTATACGTGCCGATGGGCCTTTGTAGTTCCTGTCGTGTGTCTGTGATATTTGTTCAATTCACCTGCATCACGAAGGGTTCTCGTGTTCTCCACATACAGTAGGTTTGCTATATATATATATATATATATATATATATATATATATATATATATATATATATATATATATATATATATATTTTTTTTTTTTTTTTTTTTTTTTTTTTTTTTTTTTTTTTCCCAAGAATTTCACATTTCCTAGCCTCACTACGATGGCCGCGGTGTCACTCAGCACCTCATTAGAACTCACTTTGCACGCATGGCAACCCAACTCATTGCTTTCAACCCAGCGCAGGAGACTCCAGATGCGGCGAGGTGGAGCATTCCACTTTTCCCAGAATAAAAAAAAAAAAAAAAAAAAAAAAAAAACTGTATGCTATGGTTATACCTTTTTCATATTCATTGCATTCTCAAGTTTGGACTTTTTCATTGCCAGTTTGCATAACATCCAGTCTTGTATTTCTTCTATAATTCAGTGGAAATCTTTGACAAAAGGATCTTTCAGTAGCATACTGTACAAATTAATTTCAGCATTCAGTATTTCATCACTTTCTGTTTGTATATAATGTACGTACCTGTAAATAATATTGTTGTCACTGTATATAATATCTTATATGTCTTCTTACCTATTCGTATATTTATATCACACACACACACACACACACACACACACACACACACACACACACACATATATAGTATATATATATATATATATATACACACACACACACACACACACACACACACACACACACACACACACACACACACACACACACACACACACACACACACACACACACAAAACACAAACATACACACACACATACACACACAAGCACACACACACATG